AAGAAGTTGGAGAAGATAAGGTAAATAAACCGATAAGCAAGAAATAATATAAGAGGAAATTTAAGGTCTTTTCTCAGATTCGTCATTTTTTTTCAGCCTGGGGATCAGCTGGTCTTGGTTATTTATCTATTTATTTTAAATTTTGGTTCTCCTTTCTTCCGGTCTTTCCTTTTTTTTTCATCCTCTCTCTCTCTCGCTCGCTCAGTCTGCTTCGTTCTCTCTCTCTTTCTCTCTCTCGCTTAGTCTGTTTCGTTATCTCTCTTTCTCTCTCTCTTTCTCTATCTCTCTCTCTATCTTTCTCTCCATCTCCCTCTCTCTCTCTTTCTCTATCTTTCTCTCTCTCTCTCTCTCTCTCTCTTTCCTATCCCTCTATCTCTCGCTTATCCTCTGTCCTTGCGTCTCTCTTTCACTCTCTTCTAGTTTTAGATTTGAAAAAAATAGTAGATCTATTTACGTGAAATTTGTTTTGTATATTCAAATTTTAAAATCTATTTGGATAGTTTTTTGTGTTTTACTCTTGAATTTATTTTCTTTTATTTATTGGTTTTCTTTCTTGATATATATATTTTTTTTACCACTATCATTTTTCCTTTTTCAGTTCTTTGTATTTCCCCTATCTTTTTTTTCTCTTTTTCTTCGTCTGTTTGTTTTGTTTTATTTTTGCTGTTTGTTTGCTTTCTATTTTTGCTGTATTTTCTCTCCAGTAATTTTTTTTTGTTTGTTTGTTTTTATTGTTTATATTTTTTTCTTTTTTGTAGTTCTCATTTTTATTTTTTTATCTTTTAATCTTGTTTTATATTGTCATATTTTTATTGTTTTTTTTTAAATCATATTTTTTGTTGTCCTTGTTTTATGACTTGACATTGTGTTTTTTCTTCCTTTTTATTTTGTTTGTTCTTTTAATTCTATTTATTCATTCACTATTCTTATTTTTATTTATTTATTTATTTATTTATTTTTTTTGGCTGGGAGAAGCGTGAAGATTTTGCGAGGTGCTCGGGTGAAGTTTTAATGGACTTGCTAAGATAAGCATCCCACGGTTGATGCTTTTCGATAGCTACATTCTTTGGCAAAGGACGAGTTTTTTTTCCCCTTAAATCCCCCCTTATATTCTTCTCTGTTTTTTTTTTTTTTTTTTTTTTTTTTTTTTTTTGTCTATAGGCCTATTTTTTTTTTTTTTTTTTGTATCCGATATTATTTTCCATTTTTTTTTTTAGCTGTACTATCCTCTGTCTTTAGTTCTATTACTTCCTATCCTTAATTCTTTCTTTACTTCTCCTATATATTTTTCTTTATATTTACTACATTCATTTAAAAAAATGCAGTCCATTTTTCCTTTATCTTTAACCCTCTTTCTCTTCGTCTCTATCATCCACTCCCCATTCTCTTTTCTCTACTACCCGTACTCTGTGAAAGAAGAGAATGAGGGGGAAGTAGAAAAGGGAAGAAAAGGGGAGAGAAAATAAGAAAAGTGGAAGAAAAGAAAGTGACAGAAAGGGACAGAAAGCGAAGGAAAGGATAAAGACGAAGTGAAAGAGAAAATGCGAAAAGATTACGGGAAAAAGAAAGATTAGAGAAAGCATTAGGAGAAATTAGTGAAAGAAAAGTGAAAAACATGAAGAAAGAAAGAGAAAGAGAGAATATTAAAGAGACGACAGAAAAAAAAAACTGAACACCAAATATAAAAAGAAGAAAAAAAGAAAGATAGAAAATAAGGGAAAAGAATAAGACAATTCACAGAAAATGAGAAAATGAAGACGAGTTTAAGACAGATTATGAGATCGAGGCGCTGGTCTATCCTCGAAATCTAGGTCTTCTGAAGGGCCACTCTCCCCCTCCCCCTCCCCTTCCCCCTCCCACTCCCCCTCCCCTTCCTCCTCCCCCTCCCCCTCCCCTTCCCCGCTCTCCCCTCCTCTCCCCTCCTCGGTACCCTCTTCTTCCTCCTCTCTCCCCTCTGACTCTCTTTCCTTCTTCCCCTTCTCGTATCTCCCTATTTCGCCAACTTAACCTCTTTTGATATCCCTACTTTAGGCCTATAACTCCCCCCCCCCCCTTCGTGGCTACTTTCCTCCTCCTTCCTCCTGATTTTCAGGTTTTAAACTTCTTCACCCTCTCCCCCCCTCATCCCCCCCGACATTCAAACTCCAAACTCCTTCGTCCTCCCTCCCCCTCTCACTTTCCCCTTTCCCCCCCCTGATTTTCAGACTCCAAACTCCTTCGCCCTCCCCTCTCACTTTCCCCCTCCCCCCCCAGACTTTCAGACTCCAAACTCCTCCGCCCTCCCCCTTCACTTTCCTCCTACCCCCCCCCCCCCAGACTTTCAGACTCCAAACTCCTTCGCCCCCCCCACACACACCTTTCCCCTTCGCCCCCCCCACACACACCTTTCCCCTTCGCTCCCCCCTCTACCCCCTCGCCCCCACCGTCTCCCTCGACCCCCCCCCCCCCCCCACCGTCTCCCTCGATCCCCTTTCCCTCTTAATTCTGATGACTGCACGATCAAAAGATTCATTACTGGACGATGCAGTGAGACGCGTTAAACTCGAAGATGAAGAACCAGGTGCTCCGCGATGATTTCTATATGAATTGATGGTTCTATTTTGAGATCTGTCTGTCTGTCTGTCTGTCTGTCTCTGTTTAGCTCTATCTATCTATCTCTCTATCTATTCTCCCTCCCACCTCTCCCCTCTTTCCTTCTATCAATCCCTTTCTCTCCCTCTCTCACTCTTCCTTCTTCTCTACCTCTCTCTCCTATCTTTTATTGCCCCCTTCTCTTTCTCCCACTTTCCCTTCTTTCCTTCCTCCCTCCCCCTCTTCTCCCTCCCTCCCTCCCTCCTTCCCTTCCTCTCTCCTCCTCTTTTCCCTCCCTCCCTCCTCCCCTTCCTCCATCTTCCTCTTCTCCCTCCCTCCCTCCCTCCTCCCTTTCCTCTATCTTCCTCTTCTCCTTCCCTCCTTCACCCCATCCTTCTTTCTCTCTCTCTTTATTCAATTACCTCCCTCGCCCAACAGCATAACGAGAACCAAGGAACACCTGAGTAGTTCAGAAGCAAAGACTAAAACAATAAACAATCTTCCCTTTGTTTTCGTAAGGGAATTCTGCTCTCTGTGTTGAAAGCTTCATTAAGAAAGAAAAAAAGGGGAAGAAAGTACTCCCTCTCTTTGATCTTCAGGTGAGGTCGTCTCCAAAAAAAAAAGCGAAAAAAAAGAAGAGAAAGGGATAAATAAAGGAAGGGGAAAGTCAACGGTTTAGAAATGAAAAAGAAAAAATATAAATACTAAGTCATTTTTTTTAAAGGATATTGTAAGAAGAGGAATAAAAATGTGCGAATTCCGTGTTGTTACGGTCTAGAGGCCAAGGGAGATGGCTATTCGAGAGACAAAGGCGTTATGTTAAAGAAACTATTGATATTAAAGATGCTATTGTTCAATTATTTGAGAGAAAACACATTAACAAAAGAGAAAATATACACAAAAATTAACTGATAAGAAAAGCTGGGTATTAGTATAAACCGTAAATTATGTTATTATTATAATACTTCACTTTATATGTTATAACAATATTAAAGATGCAATGACTATGATAACGTCACAATGATAGTAATTATATCAATGATGATGGAAACCGTAGCGACAGAAGCAGCTACAATGATGAAGGTGATTATATGAAAGGAAAACAAAATTAAAGAAAACAATAATGAGGATAGTAAGTATAATGATGATTCTACTGATTATATGAACACACTTAAATCAAATCTACAAACACACACACACAAATATATGTGTGTATATATATATATATATATATATATATATATATATATATATATATATATATATATATACATATATATATATATATATATATATATATATATATATATATATATATATATATTTATATATAAATATATATATTTATATCTATATCTATATCTATCTATCTATCTATCTATCTATCTATCTATCTATCTATCTATATATATATATATGCACACACACACATACATATATACATACATACATACACACATACAAACACACACACACACACACACACACACACACACACACATACATATATATATATATATATATATATATATATATATATATACATATATACATACATACATACACACACACAAACACACACACACACACACACGCACGCACATACACACACACACACACACACACACACACACACACACATCCGCAGCCGTGTGTGTATATGTATGCTTACACACACGCACATATACATGATAATCCATTCATATAAACTCGGAGAGAAACCTGACGCCCTAGTCATTTCCTCCAGATTTTCGAGCAGCGTCACGGCCGGTGTTTCCCGAGCTGCATTTTGAATAACCAGGCCTTTTCTTCTTTAACTGTTATTATGTAAATTAACAAGGATGTAAATGATTGATGATTATGAGGATGATGGTAACTATGATAATAATATCATATTGACACCGCTATGATCATTAAAATAAAAGATAATTCTATGCTTCAAGGTTTTTAAAAAAGAAGATTTGGGAGATATTATGCGTTGAATTAGAGACTTAGCAACAGAACTCTGAAATGCGGCAAGAAAGGGGAGAAGGTTGGAGGATAAAATAGCAAATTGCAGGTACAGACTGCAACCTAAAAATCAGCTGACATTTGCTTTCATGCCGCACTTAGGTAAGCGCTCAGTGTAATCATAATTATACTTATTTGTAAGTATGTATGTGTGGGATTGTAAATGCCCACACTTGTACTTGCATACATACACACACACACACACACACACACTATATATATGTGTGTGTACACACACACACACACACACACACACTTACACACACACACACACACACACAAACAAACACATATATATGCAAAAGAACCAAAAAGAAACACACACACGTTTAACATTTTACCCTTTGAACAGGACAGTATTCACCTCCTAATTAGATGAACTATATATGTGTAATTTTACAATTCGAAATCTCCTACAG